TAAGGCATTGAAGTAGGTGAATATAGAATAATGTAATAAGTGAATTTGGATTTTTTAAGGCCTATTGTATATTACCAGCCTCAATTTGTGGAAACTAGCAACTCGGGTTGAGAAAGTAATTTCCACTCTTTTATTGCTACTACCAACTATTCGAAAATAGTATATACCGTAATACGATTAAAGGATCTTCTGTACTGCAAATATCTTCTGCAGTCAGATTCCTAATCGATAGTTCTAGATAAAAGTTAATGGCTTCCATAATCTTGGCTGTCTAGGTAATATATTCGAATAAATGGTTAGCGTCCTGAAGCTGTTCGTTTTACTGACCTTTTGTTAAATTGGGTGTTAGCAATTGGTTATTGGAACTAAGCTCATCCAATTAACCTACTGAAACTGTCCCTTGTCTTCTGTACCAAAGGATAACCTCAATACCTATTGAATATGTCTCGAATTTGTAAGTTCTGCTTCGCAGATTTACTGCATATTTTAACTGATCAAACATCAATTTGCAATAGAGAAAGAATTTACCTCATCATCAATGATATGAAGGTTTCGGCTACTTTCGAGCTATGTCATCACTTAGCTACGATACTTCGCACTCACTAACACTTCGTTTAATAAGCTACGGACATGACAAGTTTAAATTATCTTCACGTATCCATTAATTTTCAAAAACATCATTAATCATTTATTCAAGTCTCCTATCTCAACCCATAATTTGCAACACTAATAAAAGGGTTTTCACTAGTAACCTAAGAGCTGTAATTAAAACGTTCTTGATTATATTTTAAAACGAAAAAGATATAATACTTTTTGATCAAGCAGCCATAACAAGACTAATAACAATTACGAAATACGGAATGAATATAAAGCCATGGCTGTAGACTATTTACAATTGATTAGAAGTTAATAGGCAGTTTATTATCTAATTTGGATATTACGAAGTAACTTTTGCTCAGCTGTCGTAACGTTGGTTTAATATAATAATTTATCTAGGAAAGAATTTATATACCGTTATCTATGACGCTTTACATAATTTTAATAGATAACTACATACTTGAATAATATTATCTATAAACTGACAATGATAAATGTTCTTGTAGATAATGGGAGATCGTCAGTAGATAGAGTCTTACTGTAGGTTAATGTCAGGGAAGACAAATCTAGCAGAAGACTTAGAGCTACTTATAATAGCTTTTAACTTTGCCGAGTTACAAATTTCGATTTGTAAACTGGAATATTAAATAAATTAGTCAAGTAATTGTTACGGTATGTACTATCGGGAAGAGTTAAATGACTAAGTTTAGCGAATCAGCATTCAGCCGTAACTGTAATTATGATTAATAATAGAATGTAGATGTATTAGGATGACTTTGTGAATCGACATACTGTGGTCCGATTTCGTAAAATCAGTCAGTAAATGTCCATATCGTTAATAATTGTTGCGTAATGATTCATTAATGCTAGCTACTGCTAAAAGGTATTAAGGCTTGACAGATTATTGAATAAAGTTAGTCCTCTAGTTTTGTAGTGTAGAGGCAGAGGCGTCTAAGTTCTTTTAAGTAACTAAGGGATACTGAATCCAGGGAACTTTAGAAATTACGAGATTTTTTTACGTAAACCTTGTCGCAAAACTGGTTTGTGATGGTAACCTGCTTCGTTAATTGATGAAACAAAAACAATCGTGATGACTACTTTGCCATATTATTAAGTAAGAGTTCAGTTAAAACACTGATTCTCCAAAATAAAAACTTCCAACTTTTATAAATCTTAAGTCTCATTACTGTTAATTTCGACATATGTCAGGTAGGTTTCAAAAGCATTTTAAGAGTAATATTCGTACTTGAGTCATGAAGGTATGAAACAGTTAAGACAACTGGCTAAATTCTATTAAAGATTTTCGATTACATAACAAAACTTTAAAGTATAATAGAGCATACTTCGTTTCAATAGTCGAATATTAGAATATTATTATAGACCAATCCCATTTGCAGCGTTCATTGATAAATACTAATGTAATCAGTAAAGAAGTAATTACCAAAATAGATACAGTACTTAATGAAGATATAATTATAACTGGAGATATATCGCTAATTCATTTTCAGATAGAATTACCTATTGTAAGATCTTGCTTAGATATGTAACGGTAATATTAAAATTGTCTCTAGTTGTGTGGAACATGGTGTCAGTTCCTCCTATGTTAGCGCTATATATGCTATTGATTATCAATTGGTGGGAATTGGAAAGATGTAGCGGTGATAATGGGCCTCTTGGCGAGAAGCGCAGGTGGAAGTCCTAGAAGATTGACTATTGATCGAGGAGCTGAAGAACAAGCTTCGAGGCGATATAAACAAAACACGGATCATGTTAAAGGGCTCCTATACTGTAGCCGTTACGATATACTATTTTGTATAGGGAAAATTGTGATAGAGTTTTGATGTAAATATTTACATCAAAGATAGATATATAAGGAGGCTAATATAATTGTAAAGCTAGATAGATTCATTCATAGGTTAGCTTGAAGAAGTCATTGTAGATATTCTTTTGATATTGTATCCATAGTTTTTAATGCCTGTATTTTAACATCGTAATAAACTTTTTATATTAACCGAGTCTTACTCACTCTTGTGAGTTGATTGCAGTTAATATAGGGAAGTAGTATTATACTTCACTTCATTTCAATTTGATCAATTTGTTAGAATTGGTAAAACACTATCTTATCACACAATAAGTATAGCTAGATATCATATTTCGTAAAATTACTAATGGTAAACAGTACCTTCCTTCATTGGCGTACGCTGGTTAGACATGCATGTGTTTACAGTTATATGAGGATATAGTTAACATTGTTAACCTAAAGACATTAAGTTAGTATGTATTGCTATGATGAATGTAATTACGTATTCGATACTAAGCCCCTTAATAATTCTTGATTTAGAGAAGGAGTAAGGCGAAACTATAATTCTTCACGGGCATATATTTACGTATTTATCAATTTCATGCAGCATAAATTAAGGCTTGTACAACCGATAATAACTTATTATATGCAGACTGTATTCTATGCTATAAGAACTCTTTAAGAAGTAAAGCCAGTTTTACGATTTTTGAGTCCAAATAATTTTTTGTGATACCAGATAGCGACTTCTGCGTAATAATCACCCAGTATGACTCAAGAATATGTTGAAGCCTTGTCAGGGCAAATTGATGAGAAATTACTAAAAAATTTAATCAAAATCTGTAAAATGAATCGACTCCGCGTAGGTGTTTATAATTTGAAGAATACGGTAGTGAAGGAATTTATTATTTATAAGGTTATGGTGCAATAAATAATGATATAATAAGAAATTCTTTAAGACTTATTTGCAAACAAAACATGACTGTATCAAGCTACTATTAAACTTTAGGTAAATGATTACTTGGACGTGATTTTCGATTCAAGAATCATTTTATAATATTCAATATTATAAGCAAAAATATCTAATTGCAACTTTAAAGAATTTAATTATTATGAACTTGCTTATTATCAATGACCTCCAATTAAATATGCTGTTCAATAAGGTAAACGAGTGATCGAAAAAATTAAGTTTTAGTCGGTCCCTCGAGAGCTCAAATTTTTTTCCTTTGCGTCATCTATTAGATTTCAGTTTAAATACGGTATTACAGGGGCAGTTTGCAAAATGACCGACTTTGCATACGGTCACGTTCATATATACTAGCAGATTATATAACTTTTGGTATTTAAAATATTTAGCTGACTTGTGACTATGCCGTCGCAATTTGACTTTCTGCAGATACATGTTACTTAATAAAGAGTAATTTTTAGCCCAAGACCATTTCTGATATTGGATACCCATAATTATTGTGTCCTCTGTAGCTTTATCGCTAGCAGCTAACCAGCTTTTTAAATAATGCATTTTTTTCATGGCATATTCTGGATAGGATTGCCCTTCCTTTTTTCTTAATCCAAAGAATTTCTTCGCATATGTATCAGGAGAAATTATATATGCTTGAAGTAAGGTTTCTTTAACAAACTCGAAATCTTCTTGTTCATTAAGAGTTAAATCTCTGTAGGCTTCAAGCGCTGGACCAATTAATACGGGCCCCCACACGTGCACCCCACTCTTCTTTTGGCCATCGATTTACCGTTGCCGTTTTCTCAAAAATGGCAAGCCAGGCATCAAGCTCCTCGTCCTCTGTGAGCCTTGGTACCTTAATTTCTTTCGGCCTCCGATGACCTTGGTTCTATGCCAAATACTGCTGCGTGACGACCAATTGTCTAAGGAGTTCCTCGAGGGTTCGTCTTTCTCTAAGCGACCCTTCTGGTTCATGTGAATCAGATTGAGGAATTTCTCCTCCGACAGCCCCTTCGGCGTCTTCTTGTTCCTTTTTGCGATTTTCCTAATCAATATTGCTGGTTTAGAGTTTCCAACATTAATTCCTAAACGTTTCGCAACTGTCTTCAATTCATCAACTGATAGGTTTTCAAATTCTTCGAACCTTCTATCTTCCTCATCAGTATTTGCATGAATTGTACTGGAGCGTGGCGTAGCTTCAGTCATCTTCAAATTGTTCTTTTTCGAACGTCAACTTTTGTAATTTCTCTTTCATAAAGTTTTCTTCTAGGCACTGGGTTTTCTTCGAATCCCACCGCTGCCACCAATTGTCACAAACCGGAATTGTTTGTGGTAAGGAAACGCAAGATAAAAGTCCTTAAGCAAGCTTATGACTTAAACGCCCTTCTATTTTACGTAAAGACGACTTACGAACTGGAGAACTACAACAACTAGAGCCTTTTGCGCAGCGCACTTACTTTTATAAGGCTCGATGATAATCGAACATAACAATAACAAAAATAACTTCGATACCTCATTACACATGATTACGACTAAGAGATAGCATGAGATTATTCTATTAAATCGTAGTAATCATTATTACATATTACCGATACTGTCAAACAATCCATTTAACATAACATGGTCATATATCGACAATAATTAGTAAACAACATCAAGTTATCATCAGTTCTACCATATTAGCTAAGATT